GGGAATAAATGAAAATTTATGATACCAAGAACGTGAGAAAACATCCAGAAATGAATGAGATATAGGGACATGAAGTTAGAAACCTGAAAACGCGCGGGAAAATAGCTTCAAGAGGTCCAGAGTCCTAAATAAAATACATAAAAATATGATATCTTCAAGGACAACCTACTATAACAACGAACAATACATATGGAGGATTAGGATGTGATAATACAAAGGGGAATCAGGGAATATGAACGAAATTCACGAAAACCACTAAACTACGACAGACCATGGTGGGAATTTTAGGGAACGATATTCTAATGAGGTGGAGAGCTATAACACATTCGTTTGAGCAATTCTTGACTACTAGCAACTTTTTCTTTCAGTTTTAAACCTGAATAATTCACTCATTTACCATTTCAGTCTCATTTTAACTAAATGTCACTAAATAAAAATGGAATAAATCAGCTGAAGGTCTCAGCACAGCTGTACGCATAGTAATGCGAAGTTTGAATTCAGAATCATCGAGTCATAGCAAATTTAATGGTATATATAGGGAATTTGAAATAGGTAACTGCGGCAAATGCAGCGCAGTGTCACGGCCGTGCATTCCGGCCCGTTAGCCGCCTGTCCCGATGCCGCCCGAGCCCGTTACCGCTATGCGAGCGTGAGCGCGAGCCCCAACCTCAGCCCTATCCTCCCTGAGGACCCCCTGCTCACTTCCCCGCTTGCCCCTAGGCTCCCCTGCACCTGGCCGACTCCCCCACAGCCACACCGACCTCCCTGCCCCGAGTCCGCCTCTGGTACCGACCTAGCATGACTCCACGACATCGCCTACTCCGCTATGATACCATCGCCGCTATCGCGGCCCTACACCCCTTCATTTATTTATCTGTTATTGTTTGTTTTGACCCTCGGTCATTGCCGGCCGCTGTGCGGCCAACCCCGCTCTTTGTTCCTATTTGCTTCCGGACCCTTCGGCCTTCGGCCCGGGTCCGCTTCTATTCATTCCACCTTCATATATATATCCTGTATACTACATTATAGTACCTTAGCTCTAATATCGACTTGACCATGGCCCCAAGCCCTGACCCCAACAAGGCAGCCCCAGTAAGTTCGAAATGAGGGCCAAGAGACAACTAGGGGGCACAGCACTCCCTTTAGAGTTGCTGAGGCCAAATGCCCTACCCTCGGGCCTTGTCTGAGGCATCGCGGCCATCGCGGCCCTTAGCGGTCCGCATCAGCGACCTTCGGTGCCCGACCCCGGATCAGTATCTAACACGCAGCCAAGTTCTAATTAACCATTAAAATAGCTTAGGCGAGGGAGGACAATAAGGATTCTAGGCGCAGTCTGACCGCAGTAGAACCGCAGTTCAGTGCAGCAAAAGCGCAGTAGAACTATAGCGTGAAAATTTCATTTTTTATTCAGTTTGAGAAAAATACACTGTAAATAAATCCTGTAAATAGAAGGTAGAGCGTGAAAAAGGAAGGTGACCCAAGGAGTATAAAAGGGAGACCCTTTCTGCGACTTTTCGCCCCCCTTAGAGAAGTAAGAAAATAGAGTATTATTTTTCTCAAGCATTTCTGGTTGTCACTCCAGTGCGAAAAAGTGATATACAGTTAAGATTGCCACTGTAGTAAAAGGCAGCAATTAAGGAGAGAAATATTAAGTAGATATTTCAACAGGAGAGCTGGTTAACACTCCAGATTTCAAAGTGTAAACACAAAACAGTTATCTTGCTACTGTTAAAACAAGCAATAAAAATAAGACAAAAATAAAACAAACCCAAGGGACACTCCAGACACAATCCAAATTCATTAACTGAATAGAATCTTTGAAACTTCACCAAGTAGAAGATTAAATTCAAGTTTAAATCCAAATTAAACAACGCTACACAGAATTACACCTAGACAAATTAAGAAATTTCAATAAAGAAACAGCTCCGCAGGGCTCGGTTTATCTGTAAGTCAATTCCCAGGAACTTTAAAACTAACCCATAAAAATAGAATTAGCCAAAACACTCAGATTGGTACTATATTTACAATAAATAATACTAGTACACTTCCCCATCCTAACTAAAGAACCAGGGAACAGCTTGGTGGTGGTCTCGTTTGAACCTCCCAACTGACCTTCCTTTGTTCTCTCCTTCACCGTTGAAGGAGGAGAACAGAAATCCTATAAAAGGCTGTTCTTTCTTCTGATACTTATATGTTAGTATTGGTACTTTAACTCAACCACTGTAGCGTTTTGGTTGCTTTGTGTATTGATATTTGTATGTGTTACTAATTGTTTGTATGTGTATGTAACTCTCAGGGTTCAATTCACTTGTCTACCTGATTGTTCCACACGAAAATCGCGCTATAGACCTACTATTTTTAGTTGTTTCACCTCTGTCTTGTCACTTTTAACTCGGAGCGACTCCAACCGACTTGACTCAACGTCACTATTTCTTAACTTCTTCTTAACTTTTTACTGAGGGTTGATCACTTTTACTCAGATGTGATCTGAACTGCACACTTATACTAATAAAACTTAATTTTTATTAGGACGCCTTATGACCTATGAGCCAGAGCATGTAGGGGAGAGGAGTAAAGAAGGAAGAGGGGTCAGACCAGAAAATGTGGTCTTTTATACCTTTCCTAAGGGCTCTGTTTTCACATGTCACTTTACTATTTACATTGCTGAGTAATCTTATATTGAGCTTAGCAATCCTCTTATGTAAGCGATCAGCATCCCATTCTGCTTCTAGAACTTTCTGGAAGTTTTGGTGTGGGAATTAGCCAATTGCATTGCCTAACACCCATCATGACCTTGTTTACCCTTGTTTACTCACTTTATTCTAAGTCACATGTCATGGGGTTATTTGTTAGCTTAAGGGTGTAGCTTTCCATCGGTATAAACAACAGTAAACTACGAGGATTATTTATGAAGATATGAATTTTCCAAGATTTAATTTTGAGGTTCTCCAGATTGCTTTGGCATTAGCTCATCCATTTTCTTACAATTAATTCTGGATAAATTATGCCTCGTTCCTGGACTCAAACTCTTTAGTTTCGCATTTCTAGCTCATCCGTTTTAACCACAAACTCAGGATGTTTGAGCCAGTCTTCTCTGCAAGTGTGTTTTAACCTTGTTAAATCCGTTTCTCCCTCAATTCTTCAGATTTTAACATGAAATCTTGTTGTACACAGACCTATACTTTAACTCTTTAAGACCGACAAATATTCATATTTTTTCCTATTTTTCTCGTATAAATATTTCCAATTCTTTCATCTTTTCCTCGTACCCAACCATTTTTCATTATATGAATGCCTTGATTTCCTTCCGATTTCTCTTTGTCATTCGTTTCGTACGTTCGTAAAACTATTTTCCCACATTACCACGAATTTCTAATATTTTATTTGATACAGGAAACCTTGTTTTTGTTTTCATGTGAGTTTATTTGCTGTTTTTCTTCATTTTCTGAACCATCTTTTAATCCCTAGACTTGAAAGTTCGCGTAGATACTCAATCCATCGACTCTGTTCTTCATTATTTTTCCGATATTTTATTTCAATTCATTTTGTTGAGTTATGATTTTATTCCTATTTTTATTTCTGGTCCGTGGAGGTTGTATGATTTTTATCCAATTTTTTGTGATGGTTTCTGGTTGTTTTAGTGTTGTAACTTTTATATTCCTACACCGTGCACGGCCATCAAGAAAAACAAGCGTGATAAGGAATGACTCATAGGCCCATGACAGGCCGTGGAAACAGGTAGCAGTGGCGGAGAAGGGTGACGGGCTTGTTCAGGCAGCGTTGGGCAGGTAGCGGAGTTGATGGGGTCGAAGCGGAGGAGGGAGAAGGTGTGGGGAGCGATCACCTGACCGTGGGAATTGCCGGGTCGTGACATAAGTCTCCGATTCCATTCCGGAGTCGTCCAAATCCACCCAATCTAACACCCTTCGATTTCCTTGTGCTTTTGTCTCCCCACTATATACAGGTGCTTGTACATACTCATTTTGGACCCTCAGTCTAAAATCGACTAGAAATGCCCCCTAGAGACTCCCTGCTCACCGCTTCTGAAATTAAGGACCAAATGGACAAACAGCAATGGCACAGTGCTCCCTTGAGTCGCTGAGGCCAAGGTCCCTCCTTGCTAAGTCTCCGGTTCCCCTCCGGAATCGTCTGCCCTCGCCCAGTTCTAACACAGTGCAGGAATGCACATGGGAAGTGTAGTGGGTCCAGGTCCAGGCTAGTCAGGGTGTGTGCCCTGACATGGTGTAGAGAAGTGGGGTAATGTGGGGTCAGGATTCTGGGATATGACAATAGTCATCACACTTGAGGCTGAGTTGGACTATTCCCTCATAGACTTTGACTTTCCATAGCCATGCGACTATTTTTCCAGTATAGATATCACCATCCAAGTTGACTGAGTGGTCAGTCAATGTCAGCCTTTTGGCAAAGAGGCTCCAGTGCGGTCCTGATCTGGCCCATCTCTGACATGAAACTTAGCAATCCCAGGTAACTTAATTTTCTTTATTTTATGAGCCCAAGATCATCACTCCATGATGAGTTGCACCGATTTTAGAATTTGGGCACAGCCAATATAAATGTCTTGGGGGTCTTTGCATGTGGGGAACTCATATAAGGTGAACACCGCAAAAACCGGCAGTGTAAGGTATGGTAGGTCATCCCCCTACACTGTGCATTCATTTTTTTTAATCATCTTTATCACTATTCCTCACTCTAAACAACTGTATTTACTTATGTATGGTGCAGGGTCAGGTAAAGGGATTTCACTTTCTACCATCACTGGGTCGGCACCCACACACCAACCTTAAATATCCATTCAACTTTCTATAAATTAAAATACATCTGTTGGTTTGTTGCTACACAAATACAGGGGTCATTTACAATGTCATACACCATGAAATGGCATTTGGTACATGCATTGTAACATTTGGCTGAGGCATTGTAAGTCATTGAGATGCATAGCAACGCGTTGCAATGGATATCACGTGATGCAGCGGATCTGTAACTTTTCGGACATAAAGGACCATAGTCTTAGTGGTAAAGTACTATTTGAATCATCGTAAAAGTGAAGGTATTTTACCATCTTTAAAATAGTTTTTTACGCGACTCTAATTCCCACTGTGCCGTAAGAGAACCGTAACTGTGGTTCGGTCCGGTTCGATTATGGTTCGGTCCTGGTTCGACATGACAGCTAAGTTCTGGGACCGGTCCCGGTTCTGGTCCTCAAAACGTCACCCCAAGACTGGACCACGGCACCCCTAGTTCAGAGTGTTACAGGTGGACCGGGGGTTGCATTGGGGCATAGTGGTGTCCATTGATCCCAACGGGGGGAGTGGATTCTATGAGATTCTTTAGGGCGTGGCGGGTTTCTTGCCTGGATGCTGTGGCCGTGTCAGGGTGGAGATTGGGCAGCGACATTTCTGTCTTGGATCAGCGGACAAATTGGCCACGCAATTACGTATGACATGGATAATACTCATTTGGTTGTGGCATGGGTTAGTTCAGATAGGTTGTACGGGTTATCGCAGCGGGATGGCGGGTGGTGATGGTTTGGTTTTTAGACTATGGACTATCGCACTCAGGGTTCAAATTCTTGGTCGACCTCAAGTGGATCAACCAGCAAGTTGAAGCGGCTGGGGTCATCGACGACACCTCAGCCGAAGTTAGAAACCTTCACGCTCGATACTGTTCAAGAATGGGCTTCGGCGGACGACTTCGACAAGAGGTATGGGTACGTCCAAAAGACGCCTGAGGTCCTCGGCGAGGCAGGGATGAAATACGTCCTGCTGTCGTTGTGGAGACACCATACCTCCAACGAGGCAAAGGCTCGTAGGGCGGCTAACTCGGCCGCCTCCAAGATTTCAAAACTGCATATGGGTGATTACCCTATGCCGCCTCCTCCCTCTCGGGTCGGGCATTCGATCTATGCCCAAACCATCTTCACTCGCGCCCCCCACAAAGGACGCGAGTTCCTCTCTCTCGTTTGATGGATGGCAATTATGGCCATATCATGCTCAGGCAAGTCGCTTCATACTTTCTCATCTCTCTTGGTGTATATACTCATGATATCTATCCTATCGCGATATCGTGCTCAGGTATTGCTGACAACAATATACATTTATTTAGCTTGGGTTCCGCCATTTACTTGTAATCTCCCACAATGATCTCCGAGGCAAGCTCTGCAATCGCATAGATTGGAATCTGGGGGTGGGCTGTAGGTACGAAAGGCTAGAAAAACCACAGGTCATTAAGCGACGTGATCCAGCAAAGGCAAAGGCACGCACAAAAATACTAGCATCGACGACGCGAAGCTTCTTAATTCCCTTCACGGTTAGGTCAGGGTTAACAACACCCTCAGGACTGTCCTTAGCCGAAATGACAAGCGTGCCTAGTAGTGAACAAGAAACGAGATCAAATCAATCATTCGCTTAACCCAATGATCAGAACCTACTGGTAGGGTGGAAAGCGGAAACTGGAAAGATGAAAGCAAACGTCAGCACCCCAGATCAAAATCCTCGTATCACGCACACACACCCGTATTGTTGCGAATATACTGTATGATCGCTTCATCCGTCTGTGCCTGAGCTAAAGGGCCCCATTCACCTAGAACATAGTCTTTGAAAACGGGCGCAGTCAGGAAGTCTCGTGCGTGCTTGAGGGCTATGGAAAGAATAAACCTCAGCCTCGGCCACGCCTCTGGAGGGTGATGTTGTGAGGGAAGCCTAAGCTTACCGGCCACGGCGGTGTGGAGATCGGGCTCCTTTGTGAAGATTGCAGGATCGATCACGGGAGCGTCGAAAGGATTGCTTGACCTAAGTTTCACGCTTCCCCTAGAGCTAGGAGACAAGTTGACAGTCGCCATAGTCATGAAATTCCCCTCCGAGGGTTGGGGATAGAGTGTACTCGCGAATCCGTCATCCATGATGAATTCAAAGTTTGGTGAATTTGGACCTGGGGAATCATCGACGACGCCGGGTTGCGACCAGATGGGATCATCAGAAGGCAAACGGAAGAACCCAATCAATTGAGCGATTGTGTTGGACAAACGGCCTAAAATGGATGGTTCAGTATGTGGTTGCTTCGCCTGAATGGGGGGAAGGGGGAGTTGATTTTACCGGTTTTGTTTGTGTCGTACAAAATTTCTTGTTGTTGAGCGAAGGCAGGATCATGGGAGAGCTCGTCTCTTGTTCCATTGTCATTTATATACCACTTTCTCCCGAAAAATATGACCTTCCAACCTAAAATTCAGGAGGCCGGAACTCACGTTGTTTAAAAGCAGTGTGTGGTCTTGCAAGTTCTTGCCCACTTCGGGGTGGTCCTTAACCACTTTGATCCCCAACGCTTCGAGTTCTGACTGTGGACCAACGCCTGAGAGCAGAAGGATTTGGGGAGAGTTGATGGAACCAGCAGAAAGAATGACTTCTTTAGAGACATGAACGACGGTCTTTGGGCCTAGAATCCAAATTACATCACCAAGCAATTAATAAAATCACTCCCTAATGCAATCCAAGGATCATTTACCATTTGGGCCTTTGGTAAACTCAACGCCAGTCACAACTGGTACTTCACCCTCAGTGAACAATATTCTGGTGACTTGGGCGTTCCGTAACAAATTCAAGTTCGGTCGGGCCCCAACCGCCTTGAAGTAGTTTCTTGAAGCACTCCTAACGCCTGTTCCTATGGTTCCAAACATTCTGCCAATACCGAGAGGTTTCCCAGAGTTGGCGTCGGAGTTCCAGCTGAAGTCCGGGTGCTCGAATGCAGCTATGATTGGACATTGATATATATGAAAACATCCGTGTGACACAGAAATTGACGTTGATGAGGCATACCTTGTTTAACCCTGTCGGCGAAAGGAGTTGGGTAATTAGGAAGGGAGATGAGTATGGGGCCTTTGTCTCCATAGACGGCGGGATTATAATCCCCGGTGTAGTCGTGACCACTGGTGGGGAGTTTGCGGGTTTCGGACTAAGAGCGAAGGGGGGAGGGGGCGGATAAGATTAAGTCGGAACGAGGGGGACGAATGTCCGAACCTTTTGGGAGAATGAGAGGATATTATCCCACGACCAACGTTGATCGCCGGTGATATTGGCGATTCTGTCGTACTCTTCGAACGACCCACGAGTATAGAACATGAAGTTGATCTACATCAATATTGTCTTCAGTACCATCATCGAGCTTAATAGAGATTGGAATCGCTCACTCACCATTGATGTCCCGCCGACCACTTTTCCACGTGGGAATGGGACTACTCTGTTGTTGAGGCCGATTTGAGGCTCGCTCTGATAACGCCACAGCCCCTCTGTGCCGAACGCTGGTTGCGGAGCAAATACCGGGACATTCCACGCCGGAGTGTTTGGCGCGCTAAATTTGGAGGAGGAACAACTGAGAGTGCAAATTCCGGCACGCACAAATACTGACCAAAACTTACTCTGTGCCAGCCTCAAGCACGAGGACTTTGAAATCAGGATTCTCCGATAGACGCGTCCCGAGGACAGCCCCCGCGGTGCCAGCTGCATAATACATCGTAAACACTGAGCGCGATGATCTCGGCACATAAGTAGCATGAAAACGTACCCCCGATGATAATGAAATCGTAGAGAGTTTTCAGTGCACTCTCAGAGGACATGGCCGGTTCGAACTACAGGATGACGACCTGTTTCTTCGTCCCCTTATCTAAATACGCAAGAACGCGGCATTGACCCTTGCTCATTTTTTTGCTTCTGTGTATGGGCATTCGCCTGGGGACAAGTAACGGGATTGATTGGTCATGTCGGCGTGGAGTTGGCCGGATCTCGCGGGAGCCCCTTGACTACGGGGGGCGGTGCAAAGTTATAGGACCCCCAATGTCTATCATTCAATTGTTGATGTGATGAGTAGAGCCATATACGCGCAAAGCCGCTTGTGAATCATGTCAGTACGGAACCTGCTGAATCATTAGGCAGGTTACCAGCCTCTACTATTAGTACTGGCTGAATCATGCATCCCAATCGCTTGGATGTGAAACCCGACGTCACAACGGCTTAGTGTGCATGGTGTATAATCCAACCCCCTCTCGCAGCTAGCTAGGTCGCAGATCGATACAGGTGAGTTGGTTAAGCAGATGTTCGGATTCAACACATTTGTGAATTGAGATAAGGGTCTCATTATCATGAACCAAAAGCGGGTACCGAACATCAAGGCCCAAGGGCGATGAATAGGAGCTGGAAGGTTTTGGGGGAAAGGCTTTCGTAATAGATACAAAAAGGGGGGAAGCACACTGAAGCCACCATACGATTTTTGCTTTTTGTTTTTTTTGGCAGTGAGACAACAGGTACGTGAATTCAACTTTACAATAAAATGAGTTGCTGGGAAAAATTCTACATGAATTTCATTTCCTATTATGTACCATTTGATGCTTAGTCGACCTAAGAGCTGACGATTCAAATATCTTTCATATACAAGCGCACGGATTTGTTGACCCCTGTCATATCGCGCAAGGTAGCTCGGTCAATCGAAAGGATGGCCAATCGAGGGGGCTTCGAACGGGGCTGCCAGCAGCGAAAGTGGGGTTTTCTCATGCATGGTGTAAGACAGTGAACAAAATAACGAATAATTGGAATTGGCGTGCCAAAAAATGAACAGCTAGCAAGTATTGCATAAGTTCGAAGTGTCGGCGCACGCCAGTTGCCGGGTACTGTCGTTCATTTCGGTCAAAGCTAAAGCGATCCCGCCATGGGCGGCGGGGTAATCCGTGACAGCGTGGTCCCCAACCATCATATCAGAGCTACTCACAGTAGCACAGTATAGTCATTCTCGCCGTCTCCGAAACACCCGGGGGCTTGCCGAGCAAACCCGTATATTGTACTTATCCCATCCTTGCTCGGCTCCTGCCTACACCTTCCAGCATTGTGGCACCCTTAAAATTGAAGCTGTCGTCCCAAAATCGATTCGTTGAATGGACGATTACTGGCTTCTATAATATTTACCTATGTAAGCCTGCTGCATTGTGCCAGGAACGTATCACTCCCGCCCGAACAACGGGACTGAGAGGCCCGAGGCCGCTTTAGTTCAACCACAACTCACCCTTTGAATATCCTTCAGTCCCTTATGTAGGTCCCTTTTTGCAAGCTGACCTCGTGCCATACTCAGTGTAATATTCTCCACACTGCCGTTTTCCTCGGATACGGGCCTGCCACGCCGCCCTTTTATGTATAATGTTTATCATTCGTTTCCCATCCCAGCACCCGTTCCCTTAGTTAGTACGCCATATATATATATATGCGGGGGGCACCTAGTCAGGTACACAGAATGAACAACCACGACAATGAAGACTTCTTCATATGCCTCCCCCCGAGTGATGATGATGATTGGCGTAAAATTGGAGGGAGAACGTGCGTTTGCATGCATTGGTGGGCTGATGGCGATATGGCATCATGGCGTGACGTAGAAGTTCCAGCGTCTGTGTGTAGCGGTGGGCGGGCCCGTTGACTGGAAGGCAGCGGGTGTCGAGCTTCCTTTCTCAAGTGGAGGGGATGGCATGAGCGGATCGAATACCCCTCCCCCCCGGGGGGTGGGATCGGAATCGACATGGGGTATGTCACAACAAGAATGATCTCCTTCACTGTGGGATCGAGATATTGAAGCAGTGACCCGCCGATTTTGCCCACAGGTGGGTTTGCTGACCAGCGTATGGCAGAAAGGCTAATATGGAGCGGCCAAGACCTTTAAGTCTGAATTCGCACTTGACATCGCCACTGCTCGGACGCTCCAAATGGACGATCAGGGGGGGCAAGTATAATTTGCCGTGACGTTCCACCCATGGAATCATTTCAGAATCCATAGAGATGCTATGGAATGGAGGGGGGCAACACAGCCCGCATCGGTGGGAAAAACCTAATCTCGTAGTGTTCGCCCCTCGCTAGAGGCTACGCCACCAAATTCACACCACACACATCGCATGGGGAACATTGCTGAAAGCGATGGGACATGTACACGTGGTCCAAAAAGACACCAGAGGGTATCTGATATGTTGCATGCCGAAGAACAATTCCGAGGGGGGGGGAAGTCGATCACCAGCATTCAGTCAGACAGCAATCATTGACGTTTGGCAGACACTGTAGCGATAGCGCTTCCCCGGACTGTCCAGATCGACGTCGAGCGCTGCTAGTTATCCCAAGTCGCGTACCATTCGTTCGTCAATAATGCACAATAAAAAAAAGGCCATTTGGTCTAGTGTGGGAAGGTAGTAATGACAACGTTGAGGGTGTTTACGTACGTCCACTGTATGTATAAGCCAAGCCGCCACCGGAGCACAAGCCGAAGTGGGATCCACTTTGATTAAGAATGAATACATATTATAGGGTAATTGCATATGGCTTCGCGCTTGCTAGGAATAGAGGCGATACTGATATTTACAGTAGTATATCCGTGTGAGCAGTCAGAACGAGCTAGTGACCACATGTGACATTACCAGCCGGTTGGCATGTCGAAAGGGTTCAATTGCTTAGCAGCGTCCAGGACTCATTTGTTCTATATCGCATGCACGCTATGTGCATGGCCTCTTTCTCCTGTCGTCCCTGTTGCTTCATGCTCGCCAATTCATTCAACCCCACTTTTACATCTGCGCCTCCCAAAGTTTCGCATCAGTCTTTCCATTCGAATTTTTAAAAGATAGACCAAACAGCTTCAGAACGAACTCGCGCAACGAACAGATGCACTTAATTGAACCAACAGTGCTAGTGCGCGCTACCAGCGAGAGAATTATTGTAGGCAGAGGCTCCTGCACCAATACATATAGGAGTTCCAGTAAGCCAGTTGGCTCATCTCGCGACTGCAAATGACCCGGAAGTTACGCATGCAAGAGTCAAGTCCAAGATTTGGTCCTTAACTGGGTTGCTTCACTTTAACGGGAGAGGAGAGCCAGGCCAAAATCGGACTTGAACAACGACGTTCCTGGCAATCTCCGCAATTCAAAAATTCGCTGTTTTCCCACGATTACACTCGTTGCACCCAGTCTGACGGCGCTTGTTGTGCCGGACAACCCAGTGTGAAAGGATCAGGAACAGCAGGGATGTCAAACCATTGCCGTACGCTATTCGAGGCCGGCTCTAGCCTCCCCCTTGACTTGACTAAATTTCGACACAAGTACTGCCTCACTAGCGCAAAATCACAAGACAGTACTACACTTGAGTGATGCTACCGTCGCGACCAAGTCGTGTGAAATAGAATATTAAACCTCGAATACGGGAAGGCTAATAATGTAGTGCTTGACATGACGCTGTTGATCCCCATGGAGTAACAATGAATGATTGTTTCAACCCTCCGATCGATCGGATCCCTAGCTGTTGAATTCAAATGTAAGTGGGTTGCGCCATCCATATATACAACAGTCTGTACGTAGACATATACACAGTACTGTACTGTGGGCATATATATCCCAAATACATGATGCAAGCAGCTAGCTCAGCATTGTACGACTACATAAGATGGAAAGCTACATATACATATAGCTAACATTGAGCAAGTCAAAAATCATGCTACATGGTAGTAAAAAAAAAGAAGCAAATGATGTCAGTGATCGATCGATGATTAACAACACAAAAAAATGTGCTTTGACGTGTGAACATGGAGCTAAAAGGATGATGATGGTGACGTGGAGGCAAGTTCTCAGAAAACACAAGACCCGACCCGAGGCCGCCTCATCTCAGTTCGTCAAATCCAAACCCACCTGCCCCAACCCCTACCAAATTCCTTCCTGCCCCACCATGATAAGGCGGACTATACGAAGCATAAGAATACGAATCAAAAGAAGATGGACTCGAAGCGCTCATCGAACTCAACGAGCCGTATCGCGTCGAGTAGGAATGCGAAGAAAGGGACCTGTGGCTGTAAGGATGGGTTGGTAACCAAGTGTGGAAGGATGAGGTGGAAGAGGCAGTGCGGGATTTTTTGTTTGAGGAAGATGTGGATGACCAAGGTAACCACCACCGCCATAATGATGACGTCTCGTCATCTTCATCTTCGTCGTCGTCATCGTCATCATCGTCGTCATCGTCATCGTCGTCATCGTCGTCTCGCTCATAAGGATAAGAATTCCCCGAGTCATTTTGGTTCATGGCACCTCGCCCAAATAATGATGATGAGGAGTTTTTTGTAGCAACACGTTTCGGATGTGCGTCCTAGTAAAAACATGAACACAGTTGAGCTCCCGGTCTCTCATCTCGAAGCTCAGATCAGGAAGAAAAAACAACGCACCTGCCAAATGATCGTCTGACCAATCTTCTTCCATTTCCCTAATCCTCCTTCCTCAGCAGTATGTTTACCCCAAATCCTCTTCTCCCTGGCTTCCCAACTTTCAATTTCATACACCCTAAAATCATCTTCGTCACTGAATCGGACGTTTTTTCTTACGTCATTATTGCGGTGGTGGTTGCTGCCAATGTCGATTGGGATCGGCGTTGTTGATCCAGTGGGTGTAAAAGTTGCGAGACTACTCGAGGATGCTGAAGGGGAGATGATGGAAGAAGCGGAAGAAGTCAGGGAAGGAGTATCGAGAGGAAGGGGGACTGGAAGGGGAGGTGTGAGATGAGGTGCGGAGGAGGACGACGTCGTCGTCCTGCCCGGGGATGAAGTTTTTTTGAGCGCTGAGCGAAGAGTCTGGATGTGGATGGGAGATGATCGCGGAGAAGAGGGAGGTGAATTCGTTGAGGTTGTGGAAGTTGAGTCCATGCTCAGAAGGCGTGTCCGCTCGGTTGGTGTTTGTGTTTGTGTTTGTGTTTGTGCCTGTGCCTGTGCTTGTGTTTCCGCTGGAAATTGAATATGATGAGTGGGCGATGAAGGGAGGAATGTCGGTGATCTAGGTGAAGCAGGCAACGTAGAAGTTGAAGGAGAAGATGAGAGTAAAGGTGAGGGTGAACCGAGGCTACCACTCATCCTTGTAGAAGGCAAAGTATTGCTATCACCACCGCTTCTATCTCTCCTCCCTTCCCTCCTTAAAATCCTTACTAACAGCCGTCCTAAGGCAAGTAGATGGCGAAGGAAGACGAGGAGTGTTGAGAAGGCTTGCCCGAGCGTATGGAGAATTTGTGAAGGCAATGGCACAGCCGTCGACGTTGTTTGCTTTTCGAGATCGTCGAGATCGTGGTCTGCATTGATGGTTGTAGTGGTGGTAGTGGCAAGCATGGAAGTAGAGGTGGGTATCGTGTGGCAATGGCGCGGTGAGCCCGATGATGATGATGATGATGATGACAAATACGTCGATGTTTGATCCATTATTATAAGCACACGGTGTGTCTAACACCTCTAAACGACGGAGAGCGCCCAAGATCCTTTTCCTTTTTGCTGCGAGCGAATCAAAGGGTGTGTATGTGTGTGTGGGGGAGGGAGGACGAGCTAACAATGTTCACTTTTTTTCTAAGCTGTCGGAACGTCTAAGGGTTATCGTCTACACGAGCGCGTGCGGGGGGCGTGTCAACCTTGTGAGCTCTATATACGATCAATGCAAGAAGCGAGCGTGTCAGCAGAGGAAGAGAGAGAAGGGGGGGGGCGTCGTCCCCAGAAGCTCAGGACGATGTTTTTTTTTTTTGTAGAATTTGCGATGAAGGTTGGCTTGAAATGGTAAATGACTCTGACTTACCTCCACGCGTCATCAATTGAGTTTGACGCCACTAGTCTCATTCAGGAATATGGGTTGGCGGCCTAAACATGCAGACGCCTGGATCATGCAACAAAGGAAAGGATTACAATAGGCGGGCCAATGATCGAGCGCGAGTCAAAAAATCAGCGCTCGTTTCTGATTTGTCTGCGACTGAAAAGACTTATAAATAAGCGACCGGATCTTGATTTTGCTAACACCCCTTGTACAGTACTTGCTCTAGGCAGGATACCAGCCTCTATCGATCTATAGATAGACCTGTACGCGATATGTAAGTAAAAGCGCTTATGTATGTACATAATGCTCAGGCCAACCAAGCACGGATGGCCGTTGCGCTCAAACCCGCGCCCGGCCGGCACTGACAATCTCGGCGCTGAAGAAAAATTAAACTCTCCCTCATTCACAACTACTTATTTTCCGGAATTCGAACATGCATGGAGGGCCGAGGACATTTGAGCGAACGAGCAGTTTGCGTCAACGGACCTAAAGATACCTTGACAACAACCTCCAGCCATATTCCCAATTGCGAGTTAATCACACCACCCCCAGGACCAAAGAGTTTGCTGCAACACGACCTAACACCGGTATGACAGGCTAAGCGTTGGGGAATTGGCCGAAACGGGTTCGCACTCTTCGTTCAAGGGTAATATTGCTGGGGAGATTCGGATTCAGGTCAAGTTCGGTTGTCTAGTAACGCGATGTTGTTGAGACTGCATGCATGGATGTGGCAGCTAGAGAGGCTGTCGAGCTGGGTGAGATTCGACATCGAGTCCATGGCTTGTGCCGAACTCTTTTTGGGGTTGTTCCTTCGGCCCGAGCTTTAGGTTATGCTGAGCTGTTGGAATATGCGATGTGAGTGATATGTGTATGCACGCACGGTCAGCTCTATATACGGGGCAAGGCTACTTGCAACAGAATGATTAAGTGGCTCCATTTTTGTTCTTAGGTTCTCCGACCGAGCCCATACGGAGCACTCGGCGGCACTGGAGTGGCTGTCATCAGATGTCCACGCATGTAAGCATAAAAGTATGGCCAACTAGTGTTTGATCATATCATATACGATTTTGCGCTGTTGCGCGTCACAAGTACTATAGTAGGCAGTGCGGCGGACATGCATTATTCATGCACACTCAGCGTGCAGGGGGGTCTCCCTTGTGACGCTTGCTACCGTGTTTCGGTCCGCGGAACAGTGACGTTGCTGTGATCCGTGGTTCCCAGCGTCCTCGACTGCAGATCACTCTAACACGCGCGAAGGGCGCGGGATCACGTAGCCACAGTGGCCTATCAAGCTACCCCTCTTAAACTCCAAGACATTTCAACGCAAGATGTGCTTTACCATCGCATCCTCACCTCAACGCCATGCTTGGCTCGTCGTCGTTCTTCCCTTCCGTGTTGCCAAATTCCAATGACATGCACCGCAACTTTTTCAGCTTATGATTCAAACTAGCCTATTCTGCTCCGACACAGCTTTTTGTCATGCAATTGTACAATGCCAATCTGACATGCTAGGATAGTCGCTCAGCTAGCTATTCCCTCTACGTACAAAGACTTATCATCTACTTATGCGTTGCGAGCTGCCGCTAAACAGCTGACCGCCCTCTCTCTACCCCGGCACCGGGCATACAGTGACCTCTCCCCATCCCAAGGTGATCCGTAGCCGTCAGCTTTCCTTTACAATCCCCAGCAAGCTTAGGAATACTTTGCGCAATGCCCAGTCTCCATACTGACAGGAGTGCGGACCAACATCCGGAACGTGGAGCGCCCTTCCACATCGGAGCCCACGCTCTTTGGGTCCCCCTCGTACCGAGCTTCGACGTGATCCCTACTGTGCTTCCGACATTGCTCCAGTTCCCCAAGGACCCTGATTCTATGGTCGATGGGAGTACGTCACTCACCGCCTCTACCTGCCCCAGGCTGCTCTGTGCGGACACTGGCGGTCGATGACAGTTACTGAAACGCTAAGCGACGAGTTACATACTATTATCCTGGAATCACTTCAATTAACCAAATCCGAAAGTCGGTGCCGCTCGCCCAATTGCATATTCCAACTTGCGGTAAATCATGTCTAGAATCACTGTCAGAGGGTCAAAACGCGCGCGAGCACACCAGTCCATATGGGTCGTACGTGGCGAGTTTGTTGTCTGTTGTGCGAAGGGTGGAGTCTGTCACACTTATGTGAAGAAGCTGGAGACTTAATGCTCTGGCGGCGGCTATCATTGAGACAGCAAATAGGATCGGTGGAAGCTAATCATATTGATACAAGGTATGAAAGTATACGATTGATTGACAACGAAGAAATGGATTGCCCAACGACTGGTAAGGTGTGAGTGAATGGGGGTAGTTATACAAAGATGCAATACAACGAAATCAGCAGCGTGAAACAAGGTATGTAGTCACACATCGAGAGGTCAACAATGGCCGATGTTCCGATCGCCTGTGAGGGAAATGGACATTGGACGCGGAGTGTAGCCCTGCACGCTTGACATCGATGATGAGGCCTGGTCATCCCATTACGACCGGGATTTAATCGAATAAGATTTCGTCTGGAACTTCACCAGGGCGTTCAAAGAGTTTGCCATAGCACCTTGTCCACTTTTCCGAAAAGTGTGCGTATGGGTTCGTCACGTTCAAGTAATTGCCACACAAAAAGCAATAATGTTGTCCACACTGTGCACACATCATCTGTAGGACCACCAGTCATTGGTAAGGATAGACCGGCCATGATGCCATCAAACTTACGTGGTTACAACCTGTGATTGCGTTGGGGGAAAATAAATTAACAATACCTTCAACACGGCTCCTGGAACACGCTTACCATAGGATTTTTCGCAACGCGTATGACACTTGGGACACCCAGTGGTGAATTCTTCGATATACTTTTGGCTCATTTCCTCTTCCTCCGCCTTGGCAATCATCCTCTGAAGATTCTTCCTTCCAATTGACCTTTCCAGGGCTTTCCTGCGCTGTGAGCCTTCCGGCAAGGAGCGGTATTCTTTGAGGATGGCCGACGTGCTGTGTGTCTCGCACGGCATCAGCGGTCCATGCCTATTGTGATCAAAAGTCGCGGTCAGGTCACATAACCCAAAACATAAGTATTTGAGACGATCTGACCATGATTTGCGACAAAACACACAAAAGGAATACCCACATCCTTCGCACATGCGAAATTTAAACCATCCAATCGAATAAGCGGAAAGTTCCTCGCCTGGAGAGTGGTCGTCGTTTGCGGAAGCTGGGGGCCGGACGGGAGCTTGACAGAACTGAAGTGGACAATGCACAATTGAAGGATCTGAAAGTGTGAATCCATTCAAGATTTGAGCTAGACTACTCGTCAGCATGGAGTAAACATTGCCTCACCTCGTTCAATATCGCGTTTCACTTTAAGCCATTTCCAGCGCGTTACCTCCTCATCCGTGAGGACTCTCCTCACATCTTCCTCTGCAGCTTCACTGTTGGGCTCATTAGCTTGGGCATTCGAATTTGCGGATAAACATCTTGTGTCAGGACACTTAACCTGGCCACAATCGCCCTCGCGCACAGCCATACCCCACCCTTCTCGCAGGCATCCCTTACAGAAGATATGCCCACATGAGAGTTGTATACACGCCGTTCCCTTACGACTCTCGAGACATATCGAGCAGAAGAAAGTAGTCCGTGCAAACGATTCCTCGCCCATCCGCGCGTCATGCCACCGAAGCAAACCGGCCATTGCCTTAGGAGCTGGGTGTGTTAAGCTGATGGTGGCCGACGAAGAATCAGCAATGTGCAACGTGTGGTCTAAAAATGAACCATCTAGGATGACTTCTGCGATACGCCATAAAACACCCTCGCCTAGCCCTTTTTGCTCGACCCACAAGTCATAGAAACTCCGCATCAATGGGAGCATCAACGAAGAAGGTAGCCACGAGTGTGCGAAATATGCTGAAATGATGAGAGGGGGGTCATGCAATGGATATGCTGAAGAAAGACGCAAATCTAAGATCAAAGGAGGAAGGTGCGAAACTACCAACACTTCCTCCAATGATTCTGGGGTCATAGTGGATGTTGAGGAATCTTGTCCAGGGCCAGACGCCGGTGGGGGTTCAAACTCAACTCTGATGGGCTGCTCTCTGCCAAGACTGATAGGTAGTTCGAGTTTGATTAGAGTACCCCCATCTTCTGAGGACTCCAAGCGTGTTATACAGTCCGGATAAATCGCCTAAACGAAACATCTATGTGCATGCTCCGAGTAGAGTGAAAAGGTGCCTACTTCCAGTGCCAACAACTCATCTTCAACGATGCTCCGACATGTTTCACCACCGTATGCAGCACCAGCCATGTGTGCCTTCTGATAGCTCGACTTCTGTCGTAGAATTAGCAAGCACGGGTGGACTGTGTTGTGGTGACAGATAAGACTGCGGCGATAAATGAAGAGAGTCTGAGAGGAGCCAATATTCAAATCGCAGCAAGTCCGGCTAGGCGCTTGTAAAATGACTCGGACGCCCACTGTCTGCCAGTGGCGGATAGTAAGTACATCGAAGGACAGAAGCTGTTATTGGTTATTTGTAGCGGAGCCAATTGCCATTCATGGAAGGAGAACATACTTTGCTCTGACTCAGGTACATGCTCGATCAAGAGAAGATTATAATGAGACCGATGCATGCGTAGGATCCATTATCGTGTGCGGGCGCAAGTCCCGACGGTCGTCGGCCTCTATTAGTGCCACGTTGCTCCGCAACCATCACACCCAAGCCGAATGTCTGGAAAAAGAGGACACCGCCATCAGCGAACCACTTCATAGATCCACGACACGATGTTGACTTTTTTTGACCACAGAGATGCACAGGTAATCAGAAACTGAGTCTTGTTGTAAGACGACATACACAGCTAACTCAAACAAGCCTCGAAACCTGAAGTCCTCGTTTTTATCGCTCGCTCTATGCATCTCTTCGGTGCACTTGCCTAATGTCCTGATGTCCTCTCCATCCACACACAAATTAAACAGTAATCAAATTTGATTCATACACCCTCGATTGTTCGCACGCCTTAATTTGCTTCACAACCATCGACTAGGCTCTCTCAAACCGCGCCACGACTGCTTTATCTTCGCAATTCCTCAGCAAACGGAGCTTTCGCAATCCTTTCGAGGCTCAACTCTTTTCTGACGGAGGGACTACCGATGATCGAATGGGCGCCTTCCACGGGAATTACAGCTACGCTGGATACTGTCTAAGTGAGATGCATTGCGGTTTTTCGGTTTGGCTTCTGGGTGATCAAAATGTTGGCGGGAAAGATGGCCGGACCAGTCTGAGAGCGCACCCGGGTAAAAAGAAAATATTTTGTGCGATGCATTCCCATCTCGAATGGCACGAAGATCCCACATGCTGAGGGTGCTAACAGGCCGCCTTTTCCGGGCTTGTTTACTCGTCCACGTACGCCGCCTGTCACGGCATTCTTCAGATCAACTAGAGTGTCAGCAGGATCCAGGACATCGAAACAAGAGTAGTCAGTGAGAGCCTAGATACCTACGGAAGTGATTACAAGGGCCGTACTTGGACAAATGATTTGCGCTCGTTCAGATTTCACTACGCATTATAAATCTGGTACCCCTGCCCAGATAGTGCTCCGACTTCCTCATCACATGCATGCAACCTAAGCTCGACGCACATTCTGACAGAGTGCAGGAGTATCGCTCTCGTGTACGAGTCGAAGTTCGCCCGATAGCTTTGGGAAGTCTCGTGGACCATCTGCCGATACCGGATAATGCGCACAACAGACCCATCCTGGATGTCACACTCAGAAAGTGCCAAAGTGGAACGGACTCCTGCCACCCCTCGAACAAGAGGCGCTGCTCAGAGGGTGGAATGCCCATCATGTACTGTTTATCTTTATCTTGAGATCGTTGATCGTATCGTTTCTCTCGATATAGAAACCGTACGTCCCACTCGGCCTGTAGAGATGGGAATGGTCCAAGAGGTGTCGCATGACGACGAAGACCCTCGTCTTAACGAGGAAGATGCATTGTACGACGGAGTTGATTAATGGAAAGAGTTGGCACATTCTATATGTTGTTAGTCAAGAGGGTACAACCGTCCTCAGACTCCGTTTATTTTTTGGTGGTAGCTTTCGCGGGCGGGATGCCTGAAGGTTTGTAGGGAAGGGCGGAGCCTTCCAGAGGGCAGTGATGATGGTGACGTAGGCTGAAAGAGCTTTTGGACCTAGCTTCTGGTATCCATCCTTTTGGGGACTGATTTAACTCCCCATAAAAGGCAATTTTCCTGTCACTGATCGGATTTTGGGTCCCGATTCAGGGTCCATTTTGAGAATGCCTTGCAAATGATCACTGTCAGCTCAAATGTGACCCCACAAAAGGGCCGGCCACAGCTTGTCGTTCAACTCTGCGTCGGCCACCGAGCGTCTACAGACAAGAATTGTCAATGGCCATTGTGACATCTATCATTCTCAAAAGGAACTATCGCGTCGACCTTATTGTGGACCTCGTGAGGCTCTTTGGCCCTCCCATTCTCATATTTTCAGCGGTAGTTTCCTTTATCGTTCCTCGCACAGTTCTCGCTGCGAATTTTTCGCGGCCTCTTCTCTATGTATTGATAAGCGTGTTGTACTGGACTGCAAAAGTGCAAATTACCCAATGGAGGTACCGTCAAGAGGCCAAGAAATTGGGTGCGGTCTGCTTTCCTAAACTTCGGGGGAAATGGCCTGGAAACCTGGACATCATTTATCTGTACGTCTATATGGTTAAACAAACCAATCCACTACAGTAACTATCTTCATCTGAAAAAAAAACACACACACATTTGTTTCTGCTCCCCCCGTCCCGGTTATGGACAGTGGGATGCGTTCACTCAAGGAGGGATACATCGCCGACTCTGAAGAATTTTTCGGCGATGGTGACACATTCAATATGGGAGCGTTCTGGACGAATATCTATGTTACCAGAAGTCCTACCTTCATACAACACGCACTAGCGACGGAACCTGACTTCTTCCCCATGGGAGAAGACCAGTGCACCTTGTGAGATCCTTTAATATATCATTTCTCCTTTTCTGCCGGGGACCTCATTTCGTACATCGGTCTTGCCTGGTAGGCTTCACGGAATGTTTGGGAATGGTATTTTGGCAACTGATGGCGCTGAAGCCAAGGTACGTAGAGGAATAATGAGACCTTTTTTTGGTACGTGAAAGAACATTGTCCTAGTACATCATGAGCCCCTCCAACTGACATGTCATAGCCAAACAGCGTGTCCGGGACTTCGATCTTCTTGATCGCTATGCCCAGAAGGCCCTCGCTCTCATCCATGAGAGGGCTCAATCTGGCCAATCCATCGACGTTCAAGACTTGTTCCAACGTTTCACTATCGACATTGCAGGAGAATTTCTCTTCGATACGACAGAACTTAACACTCTTGACCTACCACTCTCCCTTCCAGGACAAGTTAAGCCTGGTACAAGAGGAACTCTCGCGGAGGGACCTTATGGTGGAACAATCCACGCCATTGACAGGCTTCAGGATATTTCTGTCCTTCGTAGCCTTAAGGGGAAGGCTTGGGGGCTTTTCGAGTTTTTGAAAGACGAAACGAAGGAGCATAATGGGGTCGTTGATCGATTCATTTTACCGCTCGTTGCTAAGGCTTTGGAGAACAAGAAGAAGAGAGGGAATCAGAAGATCGATATTCAGGATGGGAAGTTCATCGACCATTTAGCGGATTCGATGGATAACGCTAGATTGATTCGCGATGAGGTAAATACGACGTTCGACGTGGAAACCTCCAAGCCCTGGAGAAAATCCACTCCCCCAATGCATGGCTAGGATGCTCAGTGTGTTCATGGACTACGCAATAGTTGTTCAATGTCCTCTTGGCATCTTGGGATACTTCAGCGTCAACGTTAACCTTTGTACTCTATTTCCTATCCATATATCCCGAAGCCGCAGCCAAGTTGCGAGACGAAATAACGAGGATTCTTCCAAGCGGATCTCCTACGCTCGATAGCATCCGGAAAATGACCTATTGTGAGTCTTGTGCGCGCGCGCGAACCTTTTCACAGTGTGAGGGCTAGCTGATGACACCACACTAGTGCGTGCCGTTCTTAATGAGACATTACGTCTCTTCCCTCCAGTTCCAACGATCCCTAAGGCTTCCAGAACGGCCTGTCTCGTACCTGGGGATCACACGACAAACGGGAAACCAGCGTACATCCCTGCGGGAGAGGAGACGATTCTCCTATCTGTATTCGCTCTTCACCGAAAGAAAGATGTATGGGGGGAAGATGCAGAGCTATTCGTTCCGGAACGTTGGATCGATAAGGATGGAAGGCATAAAGTTTTGAATAACTCTCGTGCATTCTATCCGTTTGGCGCTGGGCCAAGGGCTTGTTTGGGTCAGGTAAGACGAGTTTGATGACTATTTAAAGATCATTACTTTCACTTGGTCGGCTATGGGGAACTGGCTAACGACGTTGCCCTATTACACCTTGCAGGAGTTTGCATATAACGAGGCAAGCATCAGTACGTATCATATCCTATCCAAACGCTTTTCATCGTTTCAAATGTTTTTACTGATCACTGGGTGGGGGGTGTTCTGTTATCTGCGCAGTGCTAATTCGTATCCTTCAAATATGCGACACCTTTACATTACGCCAAGAACAAGATGCTCCCCCAGGGTCTTGCCCACCGGAGTCATGGAAAGGGGCTCCAGGAAGGAAAGGAATTGAGCAGGTTTGGCCCAAGACGGCTATCACCTTATTTGTCAAGGTAAAACATAATCTCGCCGTTGACACCAACGCAACGGGATGTTACACAGCGGATCCTCACCAGATTTTCTTTTGGTTTAGGGGGGTTGTTGGGTCCAGATGGGCCTCGCATGTACTAGTTAAATGATGGTTTAATAGAAGTACATTGTTGCCACGCTATCACACCGGTATGCCCGTCCAGCTGGACATGATGGGGTGGCCGCATCAGAATCTACAGAACATCCGGATGCCGGGGCAAAAAAAAAACCACGGCAGGCCTGGATCTCTTTTTTGCGTTGCCGTTGGAACCGGCATCGGTGTTAGCTGCAAGTTGTAAACCAACACGGGCTATCGGTTACATAAACCCGGGAGCTGCTGGCGTAACTAGCTGTGCGTTATTTGATCGATGTGGTTGTATTTCCATCAAGTTAGACCCAGTTTACGCACAGCCGCAGAATTTGCTTATGTAAGAGTTACGAGGCCGTTGGCCGACCTAAATACAGTCATTCACGTGCCAATGGTGCACCTTTTGTAATTTCGACACTATAATTTGAGATCTGCCCTCCAAAAAAAAAAAAAATCCCAATGGTAGCCAGACTTATAATGTACCTACTGTCCAAAATTGGATGAAAAAGAATGAGAAATGAAGGAGAATAAATGCAGGTGAGCAAATGGGCCTTTCACGGCTTACAGCCTTTTCTAAAATTTTTGTCCAATCAAAAGTGAATGGGTATTGACCCCATTCGTAAAAAAATCACCTGAAAATGGTCAAATTTCTCATATTTTTATGTTTCAATACAATAGAATTATATTTCCATATAGTAGAATTAGCGCCCACAGCTAGTCCCCATTCCTCATTGAATGATGACCATGGCACTGTGTCACGACCTGGCAATTCCCACGGTCAGGTGATCACTCCCCACACCTTCTCCCTCCCCCGCTTCGACCCCGTCAACTCCGCTGCCCGCCCGACGCCGCCTGAACAAGCCCGTCACCCTTCCCTGTCACCACTACCTGTTTCCACGGCCTGTCACGGGCCTACTAGTCTTTCTTTATCATGCTTGTTTCCTTGACAGCCGTACATGGCCGTCCTTCTCCCACACCCTTTTGTTTGTTTTTGTTTCTTCTTAACCCCACCCGCAATCTCCGTGAGATCTGGCGACTTAATTCCATTCATTCCGTTATACTTAAATACCGCTTGTACACTACTTCGTACCTCAGTTCGAAAATCAACTAGGGTTACCCCCTGCACCCTCTACCTGACCCAGTCGCACCTCCTGTCTCCTGAAATATCGGGGCCGCGTCAAGTACGAGGCGCAACGCTCACGAACGAGTCGTTGAAGCCGAAACCCCGTTCCACCGCAATTGTCGTCCCCGCCCTTGACGGGCTGTTACGCCGAAGTAGCGGACCTTAACAGTCGCCGACGGCGAGCCACGGTAACGTTTTCCCACACCCTGACACACTGACGGTCACAGCGATCTAGGCAGGTCGCCAGCCTCTATTGGAAACAGTGATCCTGCTCTCAATCCTCCTCACATCAGCCCAGCCGAGCTTCCATACACCATTACCATCTCATGGGTACCAAACATGCATCTCCAGACATGAAGTGACACATCGTCCTCATGTCCTCAACCCTCACTACCAAGGAGGCTGCACAAATTGCCCATCTCGGTGACTGAGTTGCCACATTCTCTCAGCTCACCAGCAAGGGACCTCTTTGATAAAGTTGGCAACTGTGGGTGTAGTTGCGAACTTGACAACTAGGATCTGGATGTGAGTATGGTGTTTCTGTCTCCCACCGGCTCAGCCTGAAGCAACGAGGCTTCACATACATCAGCAAGCACTGTTGGAATGCTTGCTGGGGTGTTTTCAGGAGCGGGTGCGGGGCTAATGGTCATCATTCCAGTGGGCGCGCTTGTCTTTGTTGAGAACATGATAGTTGACACACAGTCGCTGTTTCGGAGAGAATCAAAGCAGGTGAGGAAAACTTGATGATTTCCAGAACTTTTCGTGCATGGTAGCTTAGGACACGGTCTGATCATGGCCAGTGTGAAGGGTAGGATCAATCATTGTGGTCGGGAATAGGTATGGCTGTGCGGCGCTAACTCTACTGTATTGAAAAATAAAAATACGAGAAATTTGATCATTTTTGGGTGATTTTTTTTACGAATGGGGTCAATACCCATTCACTTTGATCGGACAGAAATTTTAGAAAAGGCTGTAATGGTTCAGTGTGACATAGTGTGACCTTGAATTTCCCATGCCAGATCGATCCCCATTCACTGCTCATCGGCGTCGCAGATGGGTTCCTCCACTCCTTTTCCACACTCTTTCACTGTATCCGATGGCAAAATTACCAACTGAGGATAATTTTCTGCCATCCAGTCTTTTTTTGTGACCACTTTTGGCTTTTTTGGCACCTTCTGTTTCAGCGCTTGCAGCTGTTCCTTCTGCACTTTCCATGCTGCCTCACCGGCTTTCTGGTGTCTCTGAAATTCCTCCCAGCCCTTCTGCGCCTCCTTCTTTGCCTTCTCCACTGCATCCTCCATTTCCCTCTTCTTGGCTCGATCACTCTGCTGCTGAATAAATCCCTCATGTGTCACCACGCGCCCAAACACACCTTTGATCCGACCACCTTCCTCCTTGTTTTTCTCTCCCTCCTCACGGGAAAGAAGCTGAGTCCGAGCCTTTGATACGTACATCCCAGAAAGTGCTAACTGTGCATTTGTTGCATCTATGGCATCAACAGCGCTTGTCACATAATCCCTTGCATTTCGAAATGCAGCTCGTGTCTCGCCCAATTCAGCAATCAGTTCTTCACAAGTTTTCTTCTCATATTCCGTGTCCTCAGCAAGGCCCCATTGGATGTTTCGGAGGCTTCTGCCATCACCATATACCCGCTCTGGGAGTTTAAATGTCGAAGAAAGTGGTTCAGTTGAGACAATGAAATTAGACGATGATGACGATGACATGATGCATTCTAGATCATCCAACGTGCGCTTCTTTGCTTGAGAATGTGCCATCGGTGACCCCAGGCAGCACGATGATTGGAGATCTGATTGCTGCCGATGTGTCACACACATCAATGGGTTGATTATTGGCTGATTGTCCCCATCATTGTTGTCATTCTCGTCACTTCCGCTGTTCTGACCATCAAGGTACATCCGAGGGTTCTGGGAGTCATCAAGTGGGGAAGGTGTGTTGTCTCTATGATACTTTTGAGCCATAAGTTGACTGTGGAAATACATCATCCATTTAACGGGGGATGTAACAGGTAAGGGGAGATCAGCACGAGTGGAATGTTCAATACTTGGGGCAAGCTGATGTGGATGGATTACTGTGGGATCAAATGGATAGACCCCAGTTACATGGAAACTGGTCATAATGTGTGCTTCAGTGATTGAGTCCAACCAGGCAGAGCCGAAGACAGACAAGAAGGATGTCTTATTTAGCTTCCTCAGTGTGTTCTCCCGATTATACTTATTGCAGTGATTTGTAAAGCTTCTCTTGAGGAGAGAAAAAATCACGACATCAAGCCCTTGAAGCACATGAGTTGTATGAGAAGGGTAACAAAGTACGACGATCTTGTGGTCATGCATGTAAGAGATGAAGTCAAGACTGTAATGAGAATTGTGTCCATCAACAACCAGAAGGCAATGGTGGCCCCCTGCCTTCTCCTTGGTACATTCATTGAATGTTTGAAGCCAATCAAATCCAATCTCATGGTCTGTCCAGCCTTTGTCTGAGACTGTGACCCTGCCCAAGAGTGAGTGTAGGCTGGGGTATAAACATGAAGACTCACGCACATTTTATTGGGTTGTTCCTTAACCATTTTGAGTTAATATTTTGTCCTTTGAAAATTATGACAGGGGGTACATAGGAACCATCAGCACAAACAGTCACAATGATGCTGACATTCTCCCGGTTTCCATCACGTTGGATGTGTGCTTGTTTAGTCATTTTGCAAGCAATCACTTTGACCTTTTCTCCTGTGCCGAAAGGAAAGCCACTTTCGTCCATTGCATATATATTCTCAGGGAGAAAGTTAAACTCCTGGTATTGAGCCTGCAGTAGCTGAAACCAGTGTTCTACTGTAGCAGGATTAACAGCACCTCCACGTATATTCTCAAGATTTGTGCTCCACTTCGAATTAAGTTGGTCCTTATTACGGGTCAAAAAACCATCAACCCAATTTACACCCAGTGATTGGAGGTTGGGATGTCATATTTTTGCGATTTCTAGTGCATACTCAGCAACACCATCATGAGTTAAGGGGAAGCCACGGTCCGACATGAGAAGCAAAAATTCCACAAGAGTATCGGTTTCTGCCTGACTTAGCCATGATCGGGCCATAGCAGCTGCATTGCGACCCTGTCCTCCCTTGAGTCTCCGTAGAAATGTAGTATATGGGACCCTGCATTCCAATGCATATTCTCGTGCACTAACAGCCTGCCGGCCTTCCTGCTGAGCGTGCGCTAATTCAGCACGATACGAAGCAAGAGTTTGCAGCATGTGCTCCTCTACTGCTTGAGATGCCTTTTGCTTTCTCATTCTCAGGGAGTCTGCATGTTGAGCCATTAAGGAAATCGCAAATGCAGAACAGGAAATGGATGTGTGAATAAGGGAAGCACGGATGTAAACCCAGGTCCGGCAACTGCTTGTTCACCAAAACAAACAAACATTGGCACATGTGCCGATGGCCTTCTGCTCCTGAGTAACACCCCAACCCCCGGGTCATACTTTATTGTCATTTCCCTACTTCTGGAATGTACAGGATGCGCAACCCTCATATTTACCATTTTCCACGCTAATAACTACTATAACTCCTTCATTACATGTCCGATCAGCTCAAATTTTTGCGTAGTTGTAGCTGTAGTCATTGCATACAAGCTTGAAAAAAATGAAGAAATATGACTATGAAATAAGGATGCTACAGGCATATTAACCATTGAGGGGTGAAAACTGCATTGGCACGTGAATGACTGTACATATCACGAGTCAGCGTTTTACTGTCTTCCCCGTACTTACCTTCTCGTTTTCTCTCTCAGCCACTGTCTGCCAGTCAGCCCTTTGGCTTTTTTCTGTCTCCTCGTATTCACCTTTTCGCGTTTGCTCTCTCGTTCCAGTGAATTTCGACAGCGAATTCTTCAGCTCATGCGTTGCCATCGCTCAGCAAGAGAGCACGGGGTTGCATGTCTCTCCCGCAGTTGGCGACTTCGATCTCACCAAGACCAAGGATGTCCTGGAAGACATCCCCCCTCAGTCGCCCCTAATTTCCAACTCCTACCCTGGGGCTTTCTCTGACTTCTATGGCTTCCCTTCTCATCCCATCTGCGTCTACCGTACGGGCGACGAGTGGCCAATGCCCAAAGGCCCCCAGGCGCAGCATGTGCCGAGGGGGGCCAGGCCCGTCTGCAACCACCCGATCCGAGCCGTGTGGCGCACACTAGGTGAACAGGTGTACAAGTTCCTCGATTCCCTTGAAGTCTTGTGGTCGACCATCGATCCTGTCCGCTTCGCCGAGGAAGAAGGGGAAGCAGGTCCCCTCTATCTCTGGGTGGGCGTCATTCCTAGGTCTCTCTCCCTCGAGGTCGCCAAGGTCGCAGCCGTCGGCTGCAAGAAGATCCTCGCTGCCGCTCAGTTCCCTCACGTCGAGATCGCTTTCAGGGAGTCCGTCTTCACCCGATCCGCTGGCCCACAGCTTCTGAACCATGTCGTCTCCGTAGACCCCACCGCCGACATTCGTAGCCCCTTCACTGGCACTCTCGGTGTTCAGATCGCTCCCCGAAACACTTCTCACTTCGAGGGCACCGGTGCTCTGTACCTCTGCGAGGGCGGCCAAAGCAATCGGGTCTTCCTCCTGACCACCCGCCACGTTGCTCTCCCGCCGAGCGTACACCACAATGAGCTCTATGAGCGCAAGAGGACCAGCCAGCCTCGTCATGAGGTTCTCATCCTCGGCAGCAAAGCGTACCCAGACACCCTCGAGGCCCTGATGGCTGACATCGGGCGCGAGCTTATCTTTGTCGATCACTTCAACAGGGAGCTTGCTGCGTTAGGGGAAGCCGTTGAGGACGAGGACGCCACGGTAGCTGAGGTGCGCCAGGAGTTTAAAGGCAAGTTGGCAAAGACGGAGAAGACGATCATGACCGTAAACGCGTTCCACAGTGACATCGCCAAGCACTGGAGCACGGCGAGCCAGCGCGTGATCGGTCACGTCATCTATGCCCCTCCTATTTCCGTCGGTACCGGCCCCAAGCCATTCACCGAAGATTGGGCTTTGATCGAACTCAACCGCGACAAGATCGATTGGAATAATTTCAAGGGCAACGCCGTGTATCTCGGTCCGTCCCGATCTATCTTACAGAAGTCATCTAGTCAGACTATTATATCCAGGAAACAAGATTTCAGCCCCTGACTTTGTCCTCAAGATGCACCCTCACCCCGAGGGCCGCTCCGCCTTCAAGTATCCGGTTGGCAGTCTCCTGCATGTTAAGGGCATCGTCAAGGAGGAAATACGCCAGCCGACCTTGCTCGACGCAAATGGAGAGGAGTGCCTTATCGTCATCAAAAACGGTAAGAGCACTGGTATCGCCATTGGTCTCGGATCCGATATAGAGTCCTTCATTCGAGTGTACGACGAGTATGGCATTAAGTCGACATCGATGGAGATTGCCATCCACCCCTACAACCACAAGGACGGTGCATTCTCCGCCCCTGGGGATTCGGGGTCCATTGTCGTTGATGGGCTGGGACGTATCATCGGCCTGCTTACCGGCGGTTCCGGCACGACTGGCTCTACAGACGTGACCTACGTGACGCCGTATTCCTGGGTCGAGGAGCAAATCAAGAAGGCGTTCCCCGACTCCTACCTCTACCCGATCAAGGGGTAGGTTGCGACATCAACACCATGACATCGGCGAGGCTGGCGAGGCGTCTCGTTACTTTTCCACCTATGCGACTTCTTCTCTTTCCGTCACACTCCTTTATCTATCAGTTGTCGCTGCCGACGTGGTGGACTATTGCTTAGGTTCGTCTCTTTCTTTTCCTCGCATTGACGACTTTGACGTCTTAGGCCCTAGCATAGTGGACTCGTTTTTTTGTACAACTAACGGTTTTTTACTAATGGTGTAGGCCCCAGACTCGTCAGCTTGTCTCGTTTCCTTCCTCCCTTCGCGCAATTGACGACCTTGACGTCCAGGTCCCAGACGACTAGCTGGACTGCCGGACAAACTCGTGACCTTCGAGTGGCGTCTCCTGGGCATATGCGGACATTCGATTAATTGGTCCTTGTACGGTAGCATCTCGTTTTCTCTCGGACAGTCGCAACGTAACTTTGTATAATCACCCTCCACCACTCCTCGATCGCTTGTATGAACCTTGTATCTTGAATTGATTTCGTGTTTGAATTGCGCGCGATAATCCAAGGTTCAATACCTAAGTAAAGTCGACTTGGGCACTTGGTACTCTGGCGCTACGTAGTGCTTGTCTCTCTTCTCGCTCACCACTTCACCGTCGCGACTAAAACTCCAGTTTTTAACTTCGTCTTACGACTTCACCCCAATATAAGTACCACCGTTTGCAGGATTTCGGATACCGAAGCCAATGAGATTACCGCTAAGGCTTTGGAATATCATGTCGGACAAGGATCTACGTCGCCCGACTAAACTCGACTAAGATGATAACCGATACGTCAAAACCACATCTTTTTGGCAACAAGTTCAGTACTTCTCCACCAAGCTAGGACGACTACAGCTCTATCTCTATTCACGACTCGACAACCCGACGTAACGGCCGATCTCTTTGGTACTAGATATTATGCACGTCTATTTGATAGGAGCTGATTTTAACAATGACGAAGTCCTTCGTATACTACCAACTTCGCTCATACAACGACGTTTGTACAACGTCGCTCTCTATATAAAGACGTAAGCACGTTAGCCCTTGTTACTAATAAAGTATCAGGTCTTTCTTGACTTTCTGAATATCGTATACGCCTAACGACATCGACTAACGATGTGAGGCGGACCTACTGAACGGCCTCCACCCATCTCTTAGCTGCAGAGTAGCTAGTAGTACTTCACCAGCCCTAGTCCTTCCTCCACCATGCAATGATTCAAGGCCATTGCAACCAGCTTATTGCTTCGGGTAGGCGTCGAGCTTTAGGTGGGTATTCCAGCCTAATCAGCCAACCGTTTTGCGTTGCTCAACACTAGAGGGTCACCCTCGGCCCCACGAGCCTGCAGTAGTCCCTGGATGAAGTGGGGGGCCTGTTGCGGTTGGTTATGTGAACAGAAGTGTGGAGGCCTGAATATTGTCATTTAGAATGAACTGAACAGCGCTGGAGGGGAGAATTGCACATGAAGGGGTGGCCGCATCAGAATCTGCAGAACATCCAGACACCCTAAGTGGATCCCACACCCATCGCAGGGACTTGAGCGTCTGGATCATGATATATATAGGGAGGTCGAGCTGAAAAAAAAAGAAGCCTCGAGTGCTGCAACAACATCACGGCCGGTGGGCCTATAGGCCCAGATCTCTTTTGCGTTGCGGTGTTGGAACTGGCATCGATGTTAGGGGCAAGATCGGCACAAACTGAAGAATGCTATTTGGGTTTTATATATATTGAGAAGGAACGGGAAAGAGTTGTTGATGAGCTCCATTCATTGGAAGATAGAGCACGTTCATTCCATGGGTGGTCAAACTCAAGAGCTGTTTGCTCATGGCGTGAAAAGCACTAGCTGATGTACCTCTGTGGGGCTTTATCTTCATTTGATCGGTGTTGATAGGTGTCACGTCGCGATCATGTCATGACAAGACGCTCAGCAGATATACGTGAAGTTGTCCGAATTTGATTGTCATTATTGTCATGCATGGATCACACAACAATAACGGATAACAACGCACCCCCCCAAGCAAGCGGGCCGGGGCCATTCGGATTTACATGCATTGTTCATTGCGATCCGGAATAGTCCGCATGGTATCTATCATCCAAAGCCGCACAACTGTTGTAAGACCACATGTATGTACACATTCCCGAGAGGAAGCTATACCCGGCCTATGTTCGCGGTGGTCGGGCTAGATGAAGGAATCAGCGGTGCGGCCATTGCTGGTTAATTACGTTGTTGGGTTGCCGCGGCTGATAGCCACGGCATTATATCACGTGCCCTTCACCAATACTCATGCGAGATCAATATATCACACCGGTTCGATCTTCCCTAGCTGATAACTCATATACATACACAGACTCCTACCCAGTCGTCTGGTAATTTTCCGAAATTTATCCGCAACTTCGTTGCTCTTCGGATTGAAAATTACCAGACGACTGGCTAGGAGTCTGATACATACATATTGATTTGTTAGCTTCGGAATCTAGTGATTCCTAGGCTGTTTCCGGATGGGAGTGACGGGGAGGTGGTGATACGGGTGCCGGCTCCGAGTATTGTTGGCCAGACGCTAAGCGTGCCTCTTGATGCGTTGGAGAACCGTGGCGGTAGGGGTGTGAAATTGTTGGCCGAACGTAAAAACGTGCCTCTTGATTTGTTGGAGAACTGCGCCAGCTCTGTGGAACGAAAGGAGGGAACCGCGTGCTTCAGAGACCCCCCAACGCCCAATGTGGTTAGCTGGTTATGGGTCTAAGAGGTTCTCTTTGCCGCGATGGATAAGGGCGTAGATGGCGCTCACACGTTTCGTTATCCTGCACTGGCCTTTATCATTCTTCTGCGCCGACTTTCTTATTCACCTTCCATTTTCCTTCCTTCTCGATTGCAGGGTTTAGTGGTCGAGTGGCCTGCTTTCACCCCATCAATGGATAATGGTGTAGATGGCACTCACACGTTGCGTTATCCTGCGTTGGCTCTTTTTCATTCTTTTGCACCGTCTTTCTTATCCACCTTCCATTTTCCTTCCTTCTCGATTGCAGGGTTTAGTGGTCGAGCGGCCTGCTTTCATTCTCCGTCCATTTCAAGCGATAACGCCGGGGGAGCCTCTAGACCACGGCAAGGTGGGTTCTCGTTCCTAGAGGTTAGCTTCTGGTATCCATCCTTTTGGGGACTGATTTGACTCCCCATGAAAGGCAATTTTCCTGTCACTGATCGGACTTTGGGTCCCGATTTAGGGTCCATTTTGAGGTGCCTTGCAGATGATCACTGTCAGCTCAAATGTGACCACACAAAAAGGCCGGCCACAGCTTGTCGTTCAACTCTACGTCGGCCACCGAGCGTCTACAGACAAGAATTGTCAATGGCCATTGTGACATCTATCATGCTCAAAAGGAACTATCGCGTCGACCTTATTGTGGACCTCGTGAGGCTCTTTGGCCCTCCCATTCTCATATTTTCGGCGGTAGTTTCCTTTGTCGTTCCTCGCGCAGTTCTCGTTGCGAATTTTTCGCGGCCTCTTCTCTATGTGTTGATAAGCGTGTTGTACTGGACTGCAAAAGTGCAAATTACCCAATGGAGGTACCGTCAAGAGGCCAAGAAACTGGGTGCGGTCTGCTTTCCTAAACTTCGGGGGAAATGGCCTGGAAACCTGGACATCATTTATCTGTACGTCTATATGGTTAAACAAACCAATCCACTACAGTAACTATCTTCATCTAAAAAAAAATCACACACGCACACACATTTGTTGTTTCTGCTCCCCCGGCTATGGACAGTGCGATGCGTTCACTCAAGGAGGGATACATCGCCGACTCTGAAGAATTTTTCGGCGATGGTGACACATTCAATATGGGGGCGTTCTGGACGAATATCTATGTTACTAGAAGCCCTACCTTCATACAACACGCACTAGCGACGGAACCTGACTTCTTCCCCATGGGAGAAGACCAGTGCACCTTGTGAGATGCTTATATATCATTTCTCTTTTTCTGCTGGGGATCTCATTTCGTACATCTGGTCTTGCCTGGTAGGCTTCACGGAATGTTTGGGAATGGTATTTTGGCAACTGATGGCGCTGAAGCTAAGGTACGTAGAGGAATAATGAGACCTTTTTTTGGTACGTGAAAGAACATTGTCCTAGCAGTACATCATGAGCTCACCATCCCTCCAACTGACATGTCGTAGCCAAACAGCGTGTCCGGGACTTCGATCTTCTTGATCGCTATGCCCAGAAGGCCCTCGCTCTCATCCATGAGAGGGCTCAATCTGGCCAATCCATCGACGTTCAAGACTTGTTCCAACGTTTCACTATCGACATTGCAGGAGAATTTCTCTTCGATACGACAGAACTCAACACTCTTGACCTACCACTCCCCCTTCCAGGACAAGTTGAGCCTGGTACAAGAGGAACTCTCGCGGAGGGACCTTACGGTGGAACGATTCATGCCATTGACAGGCTTCAGGATATTTCTGTCCTTCGTAGCCTTAAGGGGAAGGCTTGGGGGCTTTTCGAGTTTTTGAAAGACGAAACGAAGGAGCATAATGGGGTCGTTGATCGATTCATTTTACCGCTCGTTGCTAAGGCTTTGGAGAACAAGAAGAAGAGAGGGAATCAGAAGATCGATATTCAGGATGGGAAGTTCATCGACCATTTAGCGGATTCGATGGATAACGCTAGATTGATTCGCGATGAGGTAAGTAGGTCGTTCGACGTGGAAACCTCCAAACTCTGGAGAACATCCACCCCCCCATGCATGGCTGGGATGCTCAGTGTGCTCATGGACTACGCAATAGTTGTTCAATGTCCTCTTGGCATCTTGGGATACTTCAGCGTCAACGTTAACCTTTGTACTCTATTTCCTATCCATATATCCTGAAGCCGCAGCCAAGTTGCGAGACGAAGTAACAAGGATTCTTCCAAGCGGATCTCCTACACTCGATAGCATCCGGAAAATGACCTATTGTGAGTCTTGCGCACGCGCGCGAACCTTTTCACAGTGTGAGGGCTGATG